CTTTACGGGCGCTACCTGCCTCCCTCATTATGTACACCTGCCTGCACAGCAAAGAGCCCATAATTCATCCGAGCACTTTTCATAAATCAGTGACTGCCGCTGGACAAACGACCGGGACGAGTATATTATGCTACGATTTTGGGCCAGAGCAAATCAGGTATTAAACAGTGAGAAATAATATATAAATATATCATAAACAAAAGAAGAATGGCAAGGGTAGAGGGGCGGGGGCTAGGGCGGGGCGGGGGCTTAACTTCTGTGCGCCGACGGGGGACAACGTTGCGTATGCGCAATATTATTGTTTCCGTTCTATCTGAGTGTGTGTGTGTGTGTAAGTGTGTGTGTGTGTGTGTGTATTGCTTGATAAACCTGGCAAAAATGTTACTCACCTATGCTTAGATACTTTTATATGTATTTTTATAGATATAAGAATTGGAATTCGTTCGAAAGAGTCGAAATTGTTGCTGCTGCTGCTGCTGCTTCTTCTTCTTCTGCTCTCTGTGCTGCGCCGTATTTTAGCGCAATATTTGTTTACACTCACACACTCGCACGTATATAAACAATAATGTTTACGGCCCAGCAGAGCAATTAAGTATTGACTTTGGCGTTTAATTTACAGCCCGAAGAGCGGCCCCTCTTCCCCCTCCTCCTCCTCCTGGATTCAAAGAGGGGTTTTTTGGTTGTCTGTCTGTTGCCTGTTGGCTTGTAGTTCCATTTATCATGCACAACATTAATTGCTGCAATATAAAAAGGCCAACGAATTACATTTTGTATGCTATATTTATGCTTTATTTGCAGCACAGCAATTAAACGATTCTATTGTCTATATTTTTAATTAATAGAAATATATTTTGCAATAGTCATAAATTAAATGCATTAAAAACAGAAATGAAATCATGCTAATTACAAAATTGTAAACAAACAGAATACATAATTCAGTTATTTTAATAAATAATATTAATATTAAATAATCAATTAAATAAAGTGCGAGCCCTTTTTTTTTACTACAAATCGATTTAGTTGCCTTTGAAACAAGGCTGCGAATTACTTTTGCCTTCGATTTACTTTTTTATGCCCTTTTAGAGGTTATTATAGGTTTGTCATGAAATGTGTAACGCGTAGAAGAAGATATTTTTGAACCCTTAAAGTATATATACATATTCTGGATCAGTTTTAATCGAGCTTCATTTTAAGGCAAATGTCTGCAAGGGTATTGAAACTTCGGCTTGCCAGAGCTATCCTTGAATTCTTGTTGAACCCTAAACAAATAAGTTGCCCAAAATGCAAAAATACTTTTTGATTTCATAAATATTTTGTATAAAATGTATTAACTTTTGCGAATAACTCAGCCCTGAAATATAAACAACTTGCATTTAACTAAACATATTTTGAAGCTGGCAATTTTGGGCCAATTTTTTTTTAATATGAAGTGAAACTTTAAGCAAATAAGAAAGATATTTGTTCTTCTTTTATTAAAAGTATTTTTTGATTTAAAATAAATTTTGCTAAGAACTCAGCCTTGATACATATTTTGATGCCCAACTATTTGGATTTATCCAAAGATATTTTGCAGCTGCCAATTTTGGCTAGAGCTCAAAGTTTTGCCAGCCTTCTGAAAAGATGTACAACTTGTGATATTTATTGTCGAACGGGCAAATTCCAATTAGGAATAAAATTGTTTTTGATAACAATTTGAAAGAATATGACAAACAAAAGGCAGAACAAAACAAAAACTGAACAATTGACTATTTCTTTGGAAGAATTTGCAGTTCTGCTTTCACTCAATTTAAAACCATCTTTGTTGTACATAAAATAAACTGAAATATGTCAAAAAAAATATTGCAAAATATGTCTAAAGTCTAGTTGAAGCCAAGACTAGTTTAACAGAAAAAAACAAATCACAAATCGAAAACGAAACTAAAAAGAACATTTTTTTTAGATATAAAATAAATGCCAGCACAAAAATTTATAAATTTAACTTGACTTTCTTTTTTGACTTGACAACCAAAAATTTTAAAATTTAACAAATATACATTAACAATTAAAAATAATTATATTTCTTAAAATAAAACACGCACATGAAAATTAAAGAGAATTACATTTCTTAATTGCAATATCTGTTTATGCAAATGCAGCGCTTAGAATCCATAAATATTTGCATAAATTAAAATTTTTTTTAATTTTAATAGATAGCAATTTTATATTAATTTTAAATATATTTATATATATTTAGTAAGGAAAAGTTTAGCCAATTTTATGTGTTATCACTTTGACACTCGGTTTTCTTTTGATTTGGAATGGAAATTATTTGAAAATGAATCCGCGTCTATTTTGCCGCACCTTTCGCGCGCGCTGTTATCGGCCGACTGCGAAGCAGTTGCCGAAGCTAGCGAAACATTTGGCGCCAATTTCGCAGTTCGAATTTTCCCCTTTTTCGGTCTTCCAGTCGCGAAACATGGAAAACTGGAAGCGCCCGCCAAATAGCCGGCAAAATGGCGCCTGCGTCTGCCGCACACACACATACGTAAACAAAAAACAGCTGCTGGTGCCACATTCATTGATGGCTTTTCGGATTGGCCTGCGCCCGTAAAGCCCCAGTGCTCAAAAAGCCATCAGCTCCATTTGCAATCGATCAGAGTGGGGGGAGGAGTGCGAGGTGTGGGAGGGGGTCTACTATCTTTGCCAAAATAGGCTAGCCACGCCTTTTGTGTGTCCTGCCAACACTCGCGTACTCCCACACAAAAAAAAATACTTATGAATAGCCCAGAATTGATTAGCCGGAGCAGAAAAAAAATATTGCCCCAATTGTGCACATTAGAGCCTGACAGGTGCGTGCTTAACACGCACATGTTTGACATTGCGCTAACATGAGCTTTATCTTGATGATAAATATATTTTTTAAGGGAATTGGAAGCCCAAAAGTCAGTACAAGGTGCAAAACCATGCTCGACTCATAAATGCATTTCATTATACACATTATTCCTCGTGCTTAAGTTGGGAGTGTCCGACTAGCAGATACCCTCTAGACTTTACTTTTAAAAATGCCATTTTCTTTGCAATTTGAGGTTAGCAGATATCCAATTATTGAAATATACTTAAGCTCTATATACCCTAAGGTATCCTACTACAAAAAGTTGTTGTCTCTAGTTCTTATAGGTTTTGAGATCGTATCGCTTAAGTGAACACATGCCTCGTATGAAAGATATATATACTTTATGGGGTCGTAGAAGCCTTTTTCTGCCTGTTAAATACATCTGCACAAGCCCACTATATCCTCTCTCTCTCTCTCTCGATTTTATTATATTACAAATCGGTGATTTTACCAAATCTTTAAAACGTATATATTTACATACTACTTTCTATTTAGATTAGACTTGAACTGATTACGCTTCAGACCCTTCCCATGTAGCTCACATTTGTATCTGCAGCCGCAACTATGATTAAATCGAATCAAGCAGTATCTAAGAGATTTAAATTTTCTGGCGCCTAAAAGTATGCAACTGTTTTCGTTCAGTAGCAAAATGCATGTAAACTAGCTGCAAAGCGAAATAACAGTTTAATTTAATTTAAATGAATAAATACTAAAGAAAAGCAACCAAATACACGTTTAATGCACAAAATTTAACTTATTACTTAAAAAGCAATTAAAATTAACTCACTTAACTAAAGCCGCTGCTTAAAGCAAAGAGTGCACGGCAAATTGTGTGCTCTTAAATATGCTCTTACCACATGCCACTCAAAGAGAAAAAAACATGCGCACAACAAAAAAACATGGCAGCGTAAAAAAAGGTAAACAAAAAGCCAAAACTATTGAAAGCAAAGTCAAGCGCATTCAAATTGAAAGCAAAAACAATTGAAAGCAGTAAGCGAAGAGAGCGCAAGTAAGAAGAGCGCGAAGCAAGTTATTTGCTGAGCGCGCGCTCAATACAAGTTGGCGCTCGCTCACGCGCTCTCTCTCTCTCTCGCGCGCGCTGTGTGCCTGGGTGTGTGTGCGTGCGTGCGCGCTCGTTCGGCTCGTGCCGCAGACGAAGCATTTAACTGTTAACAGCGCTCATTTTGTGTTAACATCGCGTCTTGTTTGTTCGTGAACGCCGAAGTCGACGCACGCCTCTCGTTTTCGCGCGCTTCGCACACATTTCGTAGAGCAGCAGCGAATATATTTCAGTTATATTAATAGAAATCAAACACACACAAACACACACACACACAAGCCATATTGAAAGTGTCACACACACACACACACGTACATGAAAATTGATAACAAATACATATATATATATCAAATATATACATATATATTAAGTAGTTGAATTGCATGTAAGATTTGTGAATTAATTTCAATTGTTAAAAAAAAATTTAATTTCGTGGTTGCGTATACGCAACGTGTTGCCGACCAAAAGTAAAAACAAAAGCAAATACAAAAAAATAAACAAAAAAAAAATACATAGTTGACAAAAACAAAACGCAATTATTTGCTGCTTGATCGTTCGTCATGCTGCTGCACGCTTTCTGTCTCTGTCGCACGCGCGCGGTTTAACGGTAAAACGCGGCCTACGACAATAAACAAACAAACAAAAACAAAAACAAGCAGAGGAAGAAGTGGAAGCAGCTGAAGAAGTAAAAAAAAAAAGCCCACGTGGTTTGTGGCTAATTTTTGGCCACAATTTAATCAACAAACCGCAAAAACCATATCAAAAGAAACGACCACAGAAAAAAAAAACAAAACAAAACAAAACCAAACCAGAAAAGTAAAACAAACTTTTGGTAAATTTTTGAGTATTTTACACGCATATATATAGGATAGATATATATATATATGGATTTATATACACTAGAAATGAAATCGAAATGAAATAAATAAAAATGTTGCCATTTTATGCAAATTGCGGGCAGCCAAAAGCCAAGCGAGCAACAGCCACGTCATCATAGCCCAACACACACACACACACATGGACCGACTATTTGTCTAGGCTATATCGACATATATGTATATATAGGAAAAACATATATACACAATCACACTCTGTACGACAAAGGAGAACGGAACCAGGCCACAAAACGAGTCGCAAGTCTGAGACGTTGCACAGTGCGCGACGTGGCCATTTTGGGGCACAAGGACACTGAGGGCGCGCGGTGGCAAGGACATTTACACACGCCTCACACACTGGCACACAACACACAAAGCCAACGGTGGGCGTGGCAGGCGCGTCAAAAGCGTACAGCGAGACCCCATCAATCAAGTCGCAAGAAGTCCGAGCAGCAGCAACTGGGCTACCCCATGTAGTTGGCCATAAAGCCACAGTGAGGCAGCAGTAGAGCATCAGCTAAAGGATAAACTCAACCAGGAGACACACACACGTACAAGATGGCGCGACGCAAGGGCAGCGGACGTGGCAGTAAGTACAAATTTACAGTTAACCCAATTGCTGCCGTTTAAGCCAGGAATTATGCACCAAAGCCTGCCTTCAATTGAACTCGACAGCTTTACAGTCTGTGCGATAAGTATATGCATATTGCAACAATTGAAAATTCCAGATACACAAACACACACACGCACACACACACTCGCAGACGATATCCTTTTTCCTGATATGCCTGTTGACATGCGTTTACTTCATAACTTGATACTTGGGCTCAAGGCCACTTTTGTACGCAGTAGCTGTGCGTGTGTGTGTGTGTGTGTGTGCGTGTGTGCGTGTGTGTGTACATAGCTGTATAAATGGGAATGCGAAACTTGAAGAAAACAAGTTGTCTATTAAATACCCTGCCCTACCCACAAACAAGCCCAAAAGATACTGAGCGATTGACTGAATATGGAGGAAATACCACGTACTTTGCAAAAAAACTAAATATCTTGACTGACTGGATGACTGACTGATTGACTGATTGATTGATGATCAATAGTTCGGACGAGCCACTTGTCTCCTAAATTACCAACTCTACTCACTTTGGAGTTTTGCTAAGAGTATACCAAAAGATACCACGTACTTTATAAGCATTCGATATAAATATCTTGACTGACTGATTGACTGAATGATGAGCAATAGTTAGCAGGAACAACTTGCCTATTAATATCTCAGCACTTCTCGCTCTTAATTTATGCTTAAAAATAGTTCAAATATCTTGACTAACTGATTGATTGATAGCTTGACTGACTGATTGATCAGCAATAGTTCACTTCTCTTAAATACCCAAGACTTCTCGCTCTAGATTTAGACCTAAAATAGATCAAAAGATACTTCGTACATCCCAAACATGTAATCTTATTATATTGACTGACTGATTGACTGAGCAATGCTGATTGATGAGCAATAGTCCAGACGAACTACTTGTCTCTTAAATACTCAGCACTTATCGCTCTTGATGTACGCCAAACGTAGACCCAAAGATTCCATACTATGTATCTGATATAAATATCCTGGCTGATTGACTGATTGACGAGCAACGCCCTGCGCAAACCGCCAGAGCTAGGCAGCTTCATATTTGATAGTAGTTCAATTTTGCCATAAAAATGAAAACTAGTTAATGATTGATCGTACAGTTGAAAAATTATTGAACAACTGTTATAGGAAACTTTTTCTGAAGCCGATTCACCTTAAACTGATTTGCACAAAGATACTTATGACAATGAGAACGTATCCGAAAGATGCAATTCCCTCTGCGCTGGCCGTGTAAGGCCGGGTAATACTTGTTAGTCAAACTCTTAATGCAAACAACTCTCTGTGGCTGTCTGCTATTACAGGGTAGCGCAAGGACAAACGCAGCAACAAAAGTTCACAACAGGCAATAAATGTAAGCGTAAAGGAAAGAATGAAATAGCTAGATAAATAGATGAGAGAAAAAGGGAGAGAGAGGGAGAGGGAGAGGGAGAGAGAGAGAGAGAGAGAGAGAGAGGTAGAGAGAGGGAGAGGGAGAGAGAGAGAGAGAGAGAGTGCGAATCAGTCATTTTCAATTACAGCTAAAAGATTACTTTTGGCCGCGCTTTAAACTCATGCAAACAATATGTACAAGTCCCCCCCCCCCCCCTCCCCACCACACGCCCCTTGACAAGTAGGCAGCAGCAAAAGTTCTACGACAAAGTGAAATATTTTGCAGATTGCAAACTATGCAGAAAAAAATAAAAAACATTTTAAAAACTGAGAGAAGAAAAAGGAAAATGTAACAAACTGCAGGGGGTCGCTTGCTGTTGGGCGTTTGTGGGGCTGGGCGGGGCGGGGGGCGGGGGGCGGTGAGGAACAGTTGCAGCAATGGTTATACTTGAAACTCAACCAAGCGCGCACTTGTTACACTGTAGTCCACGCCCCGCCAACGCCAGCCGCGCCCCCTTGCTCGCTGTGCAAGTATCTATAAGATACTTTATTTGCGTTTTCTTTTTTGTGTGCTGTGCGCTGCGTTTCAAGGCAGGGGCAGGGGCAGAGAGTGAGGGGGGTTCAGAGGGGGAGGAGTGGGAGGGGCGCAAACACAGTTCATGCATAAAACATGCAACTGACTCTGACGCAGTTCAGCTCCGCTACGTTTTATCATGTTTTATTTTCTTTCTTTTTTTTTTTTTTAGCTGCTAGCGTCGACTGCGCTGCAAATGTTGGGGATTCCCTTACGTAATCCCCAAGCGCACACAAAAGCCAAACAAACACACACACACACACACACGCACAGTCAGTGCTGTGTTGCAGCTGCGAAGCGCTTTCAAAAAGAGAAACGACAAACAAAAACAAAAAGCAAAACGCGCGCGCAAAAACGAAAAAAAAAAATTAAAACGAAAAGCAGCTCGACACGAGGCTGAGCCCCAATGTAATGGCCTGAAAATCAAGCTTGCCACAGCGTCATGAACTTTTGGCGCTCACCCACACACAAACACACACACACACAGACATACATAGATACAAAGATACCAACACAAGCGCTTGAGCGAACGCGCAGCCCACAACGCGCAGATACTTTGGCGTCACTTGAGGGCGCAACAACAGCGACTGTTGCGGTGTGTGTGTGTATGTGTGTGTGTGTGTGTGTGTGGGGGTAACTCAGTCTGTTAGACAGACAACACTCAAGCCTGAATGTGGCCGTTGCCGTGTTACTTGTTACTCATACTTGTTAGCCACAGTTTGAACTTATTAACAAGAATTGAAATTAGATTTTGGGGCAAAACGAATGGCCTATACACTACTTTATTGATAAGCAGCAGTTACACAGATTTGCACAAGTGTATTCAGCCATATTCTTAACGAATTTTCAATGCTTACAGTGCATAGAAGAGTTAATAGATACATTTGGACAATACAAAAGTATCTACAGATACATATATGGGGCAAAAAACGCATATATAGATACATTTGGGCTATAAAAGTACATTTGGACTACAAAAGTATCTACAGATACATATATGGAGCACAAAAAGCATAGATAGATACATTTGGGATTTAAAAGTACATTTGGACAATACAAAAGTATCTACAGATACATATATCGGGTATTAAACGCATATATAGATACATTTGGGCTATAAAAGTATCTGCAGATACATGTAGAGTGCATAGAAACATATGTAGATACATTTTTGCAATAAAAGTATCTACAGATACATATACTGGGCAGAAAAACCATGTATAGATGCATTTGGACCATAAATGTATCTTTAGATAGATCTATAGATCAATTTATGGGGCATAAAACACAAAAACAGTTATACTTCGACTACTTAATTATCTACAGATGCATTCAAAGAGCATAATAAATATATTCATACATACATCATGGGTAAAAAAGTATCTGTAGATACCTTTACGGAGCATACATAATATATATAGATACAATATTGATATATAATTATCTTTGCTCTACATAAATATCTACAGATTCTTTTACAGAGTATGAAAACTATGCATAGGTCTGTCTGCGCCACAAAAGTATCTGCAAATACATTAAGAGGACATAAAAGAACCATACATAGATACATCTTAGCTATAAAAGTATCTAGCTAGAGGACATAGAGGGCAAGAAACATATATAGATACATTTACATTTTTATAAACAGAGTGTAGATACATTTGGCACAACAAAACTTTACATTTCCTATTCTTGGTACATTCAGCTTCACGCTGTAGCTGATGTACCCGCTGAGCTGGCTAACAAAGTTGCCGTGCAACAATTTCAGATACTTTATAGCGGCCCCCACAGTCGGGCTGTGGCTGCCGCTTGTGGCAGCATTCTTATGCCTCACTGCCCACGCGCCACTCTTGCCACAACTGTTGCCAGTTGTGGGTCTGCGCGAGTCTGAATCTGTATTTGAATCTGAGTTTGAGTCGGAGTCTGAGTGTGAGTGCGAGGCACAAGCACAGCTACAGCTCTGTCTAGCGCTGTGTTTTTCGTATCTTGTATCTGTTAGATACGCAGGCAGCAGCAGCAGCAGGCGCAACATGTTCAAAGCGAACGTGGACACTTAAGCTGCCTGTGCCGCCTCTTTCTCTCTGCCTATGGCTATGCTTATTCTGATTCTGTTATAATCTGTGCTTTTTATGCCCCGTACTCAAGGAAAGTGTCTCTAAAATGGGGTATAATGCATAATCTGGAGAAAAGAAGGCAACAAATACGAAAGGTAGTTGCTTTTATAGATAGCTGCTAGTGCAACAATTTCATGTACAGGGTATCTACTAGTCAGTCAGCCTAGATTTTTGCTTAGGCACTTTGAATTTCATACTAATCGCGTGGTAAATACAAAATTGATTGAATCTTGCATTTTTCATAGCTTGCAACTGAGTAAAGGGTATCTGCTAGTCGTGCAAAATGCAATTCTAGTCAGTCAGCCAAGATTTTATCGTTAAAACAAAATGTATTGAATCTTGCATTTTTCATAGCTTGCAATTGAGTACAGGGTATCTGCTAGTCGTGGCAAATGTTGCTGCCGCTGTTGCCATTTGTCGCATTTGTTTTGGCCAACGTTCTGTGTCACTAACTACGTCAAAATTAAAATAGACTTTGGCCCGGGCCATGCTTTTGCCTCTGTATTTGCCCCTTGCCATTTCCCGCTTTTCACGTGGTATACAACCCAACCCCTCCCTCACCACCCCCCCTCCTCCCAGCTACGCCCACTTTTTGTTGTTGTCATTTGGCATTCCTTTGCCCTGTTGCCTCTGTGGCTGCCTCTGCTTCTGCCTTTGCCAGTGTCTCTGGCTTTGCCTTGACTGTTGCCCATTGTGCTGATAATTTATGTTTTGCTCGGCAAACAGTCAAAAGAGGGGGGAGGGGGTGGAAAAGCCGGGGGAAAAGGGGAGGGGAGGGACAACTTGCTCGACTCTTGGGCGTCTGTTCGCCTCATTCGCAATTCCTTGTGTACAGCTCTTTGTTTTTATTACATTTCTTCCTCTTCTAGTTGTTGTTGCTGTTGTTACCTTTTCTAGCA